AAAATGAAACCAATGCTGAACTATGCAATGCGTACGATGCTTGGATGCAAGGTGATTACCTTTGCTGTAACTATGTCCTGAACGGACTTAGTGATGAGTTGTACAATGTGTACAGCTCGGTTGGTTCTGCCAAAGAGCTTTGGGCTGCTTTGGAAAAGAAGTACAAGACCGAGGATGCCGGGGCGAAGAAATTCGTCGTCGGTAAATTTCTTGACTTCAAGATGGTCGACTCAAAGACCGTCGTGTCCCAAGTGCAAGAGTTTCAACTTATCTTGCACGATATCCATGCTGAGGGAATGTCTCTAAGCGAGTCATTCCAAGTTGCGGCTGTGATTGAGAAACTGCCACCGGGTTGGAAAGACTTCAAGAACTACCTCAAGCATAAGAGGAAGGAGATGAGTCTTGAAGACCTTGTTGTTCGTCTTCGTATTGAGGAGGACAACCGGAATTCATCTGGAAAAGCTCAGATGATGGAGGCTCGTACAAATTTGCTGGAACAAGGCAACTCGAGCAAGAGGAAGTCCCTGGACAAAGGGAAGCAGTCAGGTAAGGTTTGGAAATTTATAGGTACTTGCTACAACTGTGGAAAACCGAACCATATGGCGAAAGACTGCAAGAGGCCAAAGAAGGTTGTGCCAAAGAAAGGTAAACCGAGTGCCCTTGTGGCTGAACACGGCCCAGTGCCGGGTGAATTGACCGACTTTGATATGTCGGCTGTGGTGTTTGAAGCCAATTTGGTGGATAACCCAAGGGAGTAGTTCATCGATACTGGTGCCACTCGTCATATGTGTTCCGATAAGGAGGTATTTTCTGAATACACTCCTGCTAAGGATCGGAAACTACACATGGCAAACTCAGCCACGGTTGATGTGGTTGGAGTAGGCACTGTGGTGCTGAAGCTGACTTCTGGAAAGGAGTTAAAGCTTAAGGATGTTCTGCATGTCCCAGACATCCGCAAGAATTTGGTCTCCGGATCTCTTCTTGTTGAACATGGATTTAGGCTTGTGTTTGACGCTAAGAAGTTTGTTCTTAGCAAGTTTGGAACGTTCCTTGGTCGTGGATATATCGACAAGGGTTTGTTCAAAATGAATGTAATGGTTGTGAGCCGTGTAACCGTTGCTAATGAGAATGAAAAGCCTATTTCTGTTTATACAGTTGAGTGCTGTGATTTATGGCATGTTAGATTGGGACATGTAAATCTAAATGCGATTAAACGGTTGATGAATTTAGAATTAATTCCTATTTCTAAAATTGAATCACATAAGAAATGTGAAATATGTGTTGAAGCAAAAATGGCTAAGTTGCCTTTTCACTCGGTGGAAAGGAGTACTGAACCATTAGGCTTAATCCATACTGATGTATGTGATATGAAAAGTGTGCAAACAAGAACCGGTAAAAAGTATTTTGTAACTTTTATCGATGATTGCACAAGGTTTTGCTACTTATATTTGTTAAGAAGCAAAGACGAGGCTGTGGAAGCGTTTAAAATCTATAAGACCGAAGTTGAAAATCAACTCGGCAAGAGGATTAAAATAATCCGAAGTGATAGGGGTGGGGAGTATGTAGCTCCTTTTGAACAAATCTTATTCTCCACAGTCGAACGGTGTTACTGAACGTAAGAACCGTACTTTAAAAGAAATGATGAATGCCATGTTGATAAATTCAGGATTAACCCAGAATATGTGGGGGGAAGCTGTTTTGACAGCAAATCATATCCTGAATAAAATACCACCTAGAGGGAAAGATAAGACTCCTTACGAATTGTGGAAAAATCGTAAGCCGTCTTATAAATACCTGAAAGTGTGGGGGTGTTTGGCTAAGGTTTCAGTACCTGAACCAAAACAAATGCGAATCGGGCCAAAGACGGTCGATTGTGTATTTATTGGATATGCGTACAATAGTATGGCATATAGATTTCTGGTTCATAAATCAGAAAATCCAGAGGTATCTGTTGGTACCACGATTGAGTCAAGGAATGCTATATTCTTTGAGAATGTTTTTCCTATGAAGGAAAGGGCAGAATCTAGTTATAATAAACGAACGTATGATACTGCTAATGGTTCTATACCAGAGGGTACTGATGAAGAACCGAGACGTAGTAAAAACTTTGAAAACGTTTGGACCTGATTTTATTACGTACATGTTGGACAATGAACCGAGTTACATTAAGGAAGCTCTGTCCAGCCCAGATGGACCACTCTGGGAAGAAGCTGTAAATAGCGAAATCGAGTCCATTATGCAGAACCATACTTGGGAGTTGGTTGATCTCCCTGATGGTTGTAAACCTTTAGGATGCAAGTGGATCCTAAAGAAGAAATATAAAGCTGATGGATCGATTGATAAGTTTAAAGCACGATTGGTGGTCAAAGGCTTTAAACAAAAAGAAGGGTATGATTTCTTTGATACCTATTCACCAGTTACGCGTTTAGCGTCGATAAGAGTGCTTCTCTCGATTGCTGCTTTGCACAATCTTGAGATTCACCAAATGGATGTCAAGACGGCATTTTTGAATGGTGAATTGGAAGAAGAAATATACATGGAACAACCTGAAGGGTTTGTTGCACCTGGACAAGAGAGAAAGGTGTGTAGATTGATCAAATCCTTGTACGGACTGAAACAAGCTCCGAAACAATGGCATTTGAAATTTGATGACGTGATGTTGTCAAACGATTTCAATATCAACGAATGTGATAAATGTGTTTATGTCAAGGGTACATCAAATACATTTGTGATTGTATGTCTATATGTAGACGATATGTTGATCATGGGGAGTAGTCATGAAGTGATCATGGATACGAAAGAAATGTTGAAAAGAAATTTCGACATGAAAGATATGGGTTTGGCTGATGTTATTCTTGGAATAAGAATTATCAGGACTCATGATGGAATTGTCTTGTCACAATCTCATTATGTAGAGAAAGTGCTCAAGAAATTTGATGCCTATGACGGTGCACAGTCTAGGCGTATGTGTAAGACACCCCTTGATCATAGTATAAATCTGGTAGCCAATAAAGGTCAACCAGTGGCTCAGTTGGACTATTCACGGATAATAGGGAGTCTGATGTACTTGACGAATTGTACACGACCAGACTTGGCCTATCCGGTGAGTAAGTTGAGCAGATTTACTAGCAATCCCAGTCATGAGCACTGGAATGCTTTGAGAAGGGTACTTAAGTACTTGAGGTACACCCTTGAATACGGGCTAAAATACTCGAGATATCCAGCCGTACTTGAAGGGTACTGTGATGCAAGCTGGATATCAGAATCGAGGGATTCTCACTCCACTAGTGGATATGTTTTCTGTATTGGAGGAGGAGCTGTTTCGTGAAAATCCAAAAAACAAACGTGTATAGCTCGTTCAACGATGGAATCGGAGTTCATCGTTTTAGATAAAGCTGGTGAAGAAGCCGAGTGGCTTAGAAATTTTTTATCCGATATTCCATGTTGGGATAAGACTTTGCCACCTGTGATGATTCACTGTGATAGCCAAGCTGCTATAGGTAGGGCGCAAAGCAATTTGTATAATGGTAAGTCTAGACATATTCGTCGTAGACATAATACCGTACGTCAATTGATCTCAAATGGTGTTATTTCCATTGACTATGTGAAGTCTAAGGAAAATTTGGTTGATCCTTTGACGAAAGGATTGAATAGAGATCAATTGGTAGTTTTGCTAGAGGGAATGGGCTTAAAAATTCCACAATGTAAAGAATGATCATAGTGGTAACCCTACCATGAAGAGTGGAGATCCCACGAACTTGGTTCAAAGGGAAAACTAAGCTATGAAAATTCAGTTGAGCACTTGGAACATATGAATGTCCAGAGCTATTCCCTAGAGCACTCCAAGTGCAAGATGACCTGTTGATTGTGGTAAGGGTAAGTCATTTGGACTTGTAATGAATCCTTAACTTTGTAAAGGTGGAGTATTAACAGGATACTCTTGATAGGGAGGTCACCTATGTAAGTGTGAAGTGTGGGCCGCTTCAAATGTAAACACTTATGAATCCATTGTGTTGTCCATGGCCAAAACGAACACAACGATAGAATGGAATGGAGTTAAGACTCTATTGTGTAAATGTCATTGACTCGGTGTACACTACGGAGGAATAGTTCAAGGCATCATGTCCACTAGTCCGCCAGTACATCCGATGATGTTTACAAAGAACGGTTCAAAGCCAAAAGCTACCTTTTCTGATGCAATAGAGTTTTGTGAGGATTGAGCACATAGTATATTATATTTAATTTACATTCATGTGGGGGATTGTAATATGTGAGTGTAAATTATAATAATGGGTAAGGGTCCCATTCATTTAATTGTGTGCAGTGGAGTTGGTTTTATCCTGACATATTGTCAGTGCATTATTACTGACATAGCAACCTTTAGCTTTTAATGCACCATTATCAACCATTATCAAATATCAAATGGTATGCAAAAGACGTGTGAAGGATTTTGAGAATGGGGACATATCCACTATAAATAGAGGAAGTTCTTTCAAAAGGGAAAGATATACAGAAATCACAACACGGAAGAAGAAATAAAGTGAAAGAAAAATAGAGAAAATAAAAATTAATATTTATAATTTTAGTGCTCAATTCTTGACTCCGTTCTAGTTCGCCGGAGCTCGTAAATCTGGTGTGCTACAGATTTAGAGACGTTTGCTGTTGTATCTTTGGGGAAGTTACGCCTGAACCGTTAGCAGCCACACGGGGCGTATTCTTCTTGCGGAAAGAGTTTTACTCGCCTCGGCTAAATTCTTTCTGTAATTTTTTTTTTTCGGTTGTAATTTAATTTTCAGTTCGATTGTAATTTTCTATTTTTAGATTATTTGTAAGAACTGAAAAATTACATATCAGTTCGTAGGATTCCCGTGTATTTTTATACCATATTTCTAACATGCACATCCCTACATTATATGTTTGCATCTTTACACAATTACACACACATAAGCATTAAATAAATAAATAAAAAGTCGTAACAATAACAATAACAATAACAGTAGATAAACAGCCCGGCCCGAATCATGGGGACACGCAGCCAATCCCATACCGGGTGGTGGGAAAGACGAGAAAGAGTCCGCTGCAGACTATCCCGACCATGAGCGGGAAGCTCTGCATGGCCTCGTCCATCTCCTTCCCGTGGCCGCCCGGCACCACGCAACCCGTCACCCGGTGGTCCGACAGTGCAATCGCAAGGAAAACGAGGGCCGACATGAGGGCGTGGACAAGGTCGCCCAGCCCGGCTCGGTACCTCTCGTCCCGAGGCACCTCCACGCCAAGGCCCGGCTTGAACACGGCCAGCTCGCCCGTAGTAAAGCCTGCCGTCGGGCGCTCGGAAGGAGTCGGTGAAGTGGAAGAAGAAGCAGGAGAGGGAGCAGAGGCTGAGGAGGGAGTAGATCATGTGGATCCTCACCGGAGAGCAGCCGCCGGCACCGGCGCCGGAATAGATGGAGGGGAGCAGGGGCGGATGGACATTAAGGCGAGCCTGGGCAATTGCCCAGGCTCAATTTTTACTGCTAATTACCATTTATAATAGAATTATTGAGTGAATATACTAAAATGGAGCTTTTGCCCAGGTTCGCAGAGGGCAAGGAAGAAGGTGACTGCAGGTAAGAATTTTCTACTTTTTTGAACATCCCACAAAACGACGTCATTTTTGGCTTCAATTAATTTTATTAAATTGAAGAAACGACACCGTTTTGGTCTTCATAAGTTAAAAAAAAAATAGAAAATAAAATTTTTATTTCTGCCCATCAAAACCGCAGACTGCAGACACAAAGGAAAACAAAGGGTTTACCTTCACAAGGTCAAGATCCCCATTCCCTAAACCCTAATATCAAATTTGGTCGCCCACGCCCGTCATCCAACCTCTCGTCTTTATTTTTTTGTCCTTCTTTTGCCAACTATACAGAGGAAAAGAAAAGGTATGTTTGTTTGTGTGTGTGTGTGTGTTTATTTGTTTTGAGAATTGGGGGTGTTTTTCGTTTTAGGTTTTTTAGCAAAATAGAATTGGGCTCGATGAATATGATGTGTTTTTTTGCTGTGTGTGAAGTGTGATGAGGGCATATGGCTTTTTGCTGTTAGATGGGTGATGAATTTGGTACTGCAAGACTGCAAGAGGGCTGGATGGNTGTTTTGCTGTTTTAAATTAAATAATAAGACTCTTGCAAAGAAGTTAGCTGACATGCTGGAATTTGATGTGTGTTGTAATTCTTTACTCTTTAGCCTTTGATGTTTTTGCTCTAGCACTTTCTTTCTCTAGATGTGAATTTGTATATTTCAATTAGTATCTTTTCTCATAGTCTGTTTTGTAGAAGCTTAGCAGACTGTTTTGAAGATGTGGGCCATGTGGCTGATGTAGTCCTTTCTGAACTTGCTATCATTTGTAGCACAGCTTGTAAATTTTTGAGTTTTATGAAATTTCTCATTGTGGATGGAAAAAAAAAATATATGAAAGTTGCACTTTTAATATGTTTGTGTGTGTGTTTTCCATTGTAATATAATTGAATTGGGTTGGATGAAAGTTACAATTTTGATATGAGAAATATGGATTGGAGAATATAGATTTATATTTATTATTATTTTAATCTTGATTCTTCCGGTTTTTGTTAATCAAGCGTACATAGAATCGAAAAGAAAATCACTTTGCAAGGAGCTATGAAAGGAATAAACAAAGATTAGAAATTGAATTTGTAGAATTGAAATTGCTAATTAAAATAAATGATATGGCGAGCTTCAAATTACAATTGAGTTTTCTTATTTTGTAGAATTCTTATGTTGATTGAAATCAATTTTTGCTTGCAGAGTTACAAACTTACAATAATGAAGAAGTACTATCGAAAAGTAGCAAATATTGAGGAACCTTCAACTCTTTTGTCATCTAATAAGAAGAGTAAGCTCGATAATCAAAATCCAAAGAGCATCGATCTTGGCGAAAATTCAAAGAGCACCGAACTTGGCGAACTTTTGGAAAATCTCCCCTCAAATCCGGCACACCGGAAGCGTATCTTAGATTATGATCCAAATATTCGCGATCAAGTTAGACGACATTATCTACTCAAGGGCTCTTGTCAACCTCGAAGCCATAAGTTTCCTCAGCGAGATATCTACGGGACTAAGCGCAGGTTTAATTCTTCTTGGTTCGATGATCATATTGAGTGGTTAGAGTATAGCATAGAGAAAGATGCTTTATTTTGCCTTTGTTGTTATCTCTTTAAACCGGAACATGGTGACCAAGGGGGTAGCGATACGTTCACAGCTACAGGTTATAATAATTGGAAAAATAAACAAGGAGTCAAAGATCATGTCGGCACTGTGGGTAGTGTTCATCATCGTGCTCTGTTAAATTGTCAGGCTGTAATGAATCAGAAACAACACCTCGAGTCACTTATTAGTCGCCAAGTGGAAGTCTCGAAACAGAATTATTATACTCTCTTGAATGCTTCAATTGATTGTGTTCGTTTCTTGTTACGACAAGGTCTTGCTTTTCGTGGTCATGATGAATCCGAATTTTCAAAATATAAAGGAAACTTTCTTGAACTTTTGGAGTTTCTTGCTCAACATAATGATAGTGTTAAGGCTGTCGCCTTTGAAAATGCACCCAGAAATCTTCAGTTGAAGTCACCTAGTATACAAAAAGACATTATAAATGCAGCTGCTGTTGAAACTGTTAATGCAATTATGTGTCAAGTGGGTGATGCTCCCTTTTCTATTTTGGTTGATGAAGCCCGAGATCATTCGGTAAAAGAGCAAATGGCGGTGGTTCTACGGTTTGTTGATACTAAAGGTGAAGTAATTGAAAGATTTGTGGGCATTGAACACGTTAAAAGTACTGATGCATATTCTTTAAAACTTGCAATTGATGAGCTATTTTCTAGAAATGGGTTGAGCATATCAAATCTTCGAGGCCAAGGCTATGACGGGGCGAGTAATATGCGAGGCGAGTTTAATGGTCTCAAGGCACTAATTTTGAAAGAAAATAGTTGTGCCTTTTATGTTCATTGTTTTGCCCATCAACTTCAACTTGCACTTGTTGCTTTAGCTAAAAATCATGTCGGGGTTGCTTCTTTTTTTTCATGGTGACAAGAGTCCTCAACCTTGTTGGAGCATCTTGTAAACGTCGTGATCTTATTTAGGAGCAAAGACAAAATGAACTAATAGAAGCTCTCTACAATGATGAGCTCCCAAGTGGAAGAGGACTAAACCAAGAAACCGCTCTCAAACGTCCAGGTGACACACGTTGGGGTTCCCATTATAATACTTTGTTGAGCATTATCTCTATGTTCTCATCTATTATTAAAGTTATTGAAATGATAATCGAGGATGGGATTAGTGCTGATCAAAGAGGAGAATGCAATTTGTTGCTTGTACAGATGCAATCTTTTGATTTTGTATTTTGTCTTTTTCTAATGAGACAAATTTTAGGTGTAACGAATGAGTTGTCACTAGCACTGCAGAGGAATGATCAGGATATTGTCAATGCTATGGATTTGGTTAGGGCAAGTAAGCAACAACTCCAAAGAATGAGAGAGGAAGAATGTGAATGGGAGAATTTGTTGCAGAAGGTAAATTCTTTTTGTAATAAGCATGACATTAATATTCCGGACATGGATGCTATGTTTGTTGCTCAGGGAAAATCTCAGCGTAGGGCTGAGAAGTTAACGGTCTTACATCATTATCGAGTGGATGTCTTTTACTCAGTGATTGATAGACAACTTTCAGATTTGAACGACCGTTTTAATGAGGTAAACACCGAGCTTCTCATTTGTGTTGCAAGCTTGACTCCGGATGATTCATTTTCTGCTTTCGACAAGCAAAAGTTACTCCGCCTTGCTAAATTCTATCCGAGAGATTTTTCTGAAAGAGATGTGTTAGCACTTGAAGACAAGCTTGATATCTACATCACTGATATGCGAACGAATACTAATTTTTCTCAACTTAAGGGGCTCGGTGGTCTTGCAAAAAAAATGGTGGAGACAAGAAAGCACCTAACTTATGCATCGATCTACAAGCTTCTAAATTTGGCTTTAGTTCTTCCGGTTGCTACAGCTTCAGTGGAGAGAGTATTTTCGGCTATGAATCTCGTGAAGAATCCACTCCGCAATAGAATGGGAGATCAATGGATGAATGACAGTTTACTTGTTTATATTGAGAAAGATGTATTTAATAGCATTAGCAATGATGCTATAATGCATCGATTTCAAAATATGAAATCGCGCCGTGGACAGTTACCTTCCCATCATTGACTAAAAGATTGTATTTTTTTTTTTTTTTTTTTTTTT